CCATCCTGATTTTACAGAGATGATTTTTACCTTTCTTTCTTTAATTAAAAGCCTTCTTTTTAAGAACCTGATTAATTTTTCCTTGTTTTAAGATCCAAGGGGATTGGATCTGGACTCACCAGGAATTGGTGGGTGAAGAAGTCTCTCAAGGCTACCCAGGGAAGGGAGTTAGCACTTGGGAGTGGTGGCAGCAAAACCAGATCTAAGCTGGTAATTCAGTTTAGAGGTCCTCATGCAGGTCCCCCACATCTGTACCCTAGAGTTCAGAGTGGGGAAGGAACCTTGACAGCATCTGTTTTATAAGAGTTCACTATTTTTCCTAATCATTTTACTTCTATTTAAATGCACACTAATACACAGATGACATATCTAGTATAATAGAACTCTGCATAAGAAAAATCAAACTTCTCAAGACCATACACTTTCAATTAAAGAACATGGGGGAAAAAAAATTATATAAATAAAACTTCAAAACAGCATTCAGAATTCAGTGCAACCTCTACTGAAACAGATAACTGCAGAGCTAACATTTGGGTATCAAAGTAGCTCTGAAAATAGGGATGCAAATTGAATTAGCTTTCATTCCAATCTCAGGACAGAAGTTCATGAAAGGGGGGGGAGGGAGGCAGGGGAATAAAATAAAATTAAAAAAAAAAAAGTCAACCACTTCTTGATATAAAAATTACCCTTATTGAAAAGTTATTTAAACATACACACAGATAAATTAATGAAAGCTTAATTGATACTAGCTTTTAGCTAGTGGTTTTATTCATCATATATGAGTTTAATTAAAAAAACTCCTGGAGCAAGTTTTGCTTTATATATTGACATTAAAGTGTTCCCATGATTTAGCAGAAGTGCACTATTTCAAGTTACCTACTTTACCTTGTGAACTCTCTGTTTTTACAGTAAAGTCATCAGGTGTAAGGATGAAATTCAGCCACCAGGTAAAGCCTCGCTGCTGTTTTTCCTTCCAGCGCTCATCATAGAACATGTTTTTAGCAGCAAAAGGCATTGGATGCCTAGGAATGACTTAAGGGGGGGGGGGGGAGAAAAGATTATTTAAATAAATAACTTTAATTTGAACGTTGTCTATGTTTTTTCCTACAAATATGCAGTTCTTCACTTTAACTTGAGTGACTTGCACAAAAATGGAATTATGAGGAAAGTACTTAGACACCACATGCCACTTTTATTGTACTTGCTGTTGTCTTCAACTAATAAGTTCTTCAAGACAAGGACAGTTATTGGTATGACAGTTCATACTATTATCTAGTGCTTTATCAATATTAGCGGTAATGTTAAGTAGCCTGGTGCTTTTAAGTATACTGAAAAACCTTTGAAGCATGATTTATTGTTACATTTGATTCCACATATCTGCTTCATGAGCGTACTCAGAATCACATCTGTCTACCATAAAACAAATTATTAAGCAGAGGTGAAAAAAGAAATCTGGAAATAAGGGGCTACATTGTCAAGGGGACTTAGGCTAGGTCTACACTGGCAATCAAGCGACAAAACTTTTGTCGTTCAGAGGTGTTAACCCCCACCCCCACCCTGAGATACAAAAGTTTTGCCGCGGCAAGCATCAGTGTGAACAGCGCGCTGTCGGCAGGAGCGCTCTCCTGTCAACAACGTGAACTCCACTCGTTGGGGGTGGAAGTAAAACAGCAACTACACTGCCCGACTTTCAGCGATACAGCCGTGTCGCTAAAAGCTATGTAGTGTAGACAAAGCCTTAGGCACCATTCACACAGCCCCACCCCCTTGATCTCCACTGTGGAGCAAGGACTTGAACACAGGCCTCCCATAGCAGGTATGTGCCCCAACTACTGAGTTAGGGAGTATTCTGGGTTAAGGATCATTCTCAATCTCTTCTGCTGAAGCTGTTCCACTTTGCATTACTAATTAAATATTAATTGGGCTAGAAAGTGAGAATGACTCTGTAGCCTGGTGGTTAGAACACTCCATTGGGATGTGGGAGAGTCAAATTCCAGTCCCTGCTCTAATTAATATTTTATACAACATGAAACAGCCTCAATTCAAAAGATTGAGAAAGACTCACCTAAAAATTCCCCATAGCCAGGACACTGTCCTGGTATATGGGAGACCTACTCTAGAATGTGGACTTGAACCCGAGTCTCCTGCATCCCAGGACAGTGTCCTAACCACTAAGCTAAAAGTTACAAGGAAGGCATCACCACACTACCACCTCCTCCCCACCATTTTGTGGCTCCACCCCCCAAAAAACTGTTTCAATATTATCAAAACAAACTGTTTCATTTTCAGCTTACCAAAACATTTTGATTTTTTGGTTCAGTCATAACTATCTGGCAAAATCTACATGAATTCGCAAGCAGTTTTAGGTCAACAAGAACAACACTTTTGTCAAAAACTATTAGCCAAAAAATTCGCCCAGCTCAATTATGACATTCAATTCAAGAAAAATTCTGGACTTCATAGATACTGAAAACCTCTGTTTACCTGTTTTTAATGGTTTTATGAAGGTCAGCTGAGACTGTGCCACACCATCAATGGGTTTAGTAGTTTTGTTGATAGTTTTAGACGAAGAACCTAAAAATGTTAACAAAACATCAGATGGTCGGGGGGGGGGGGGGGAAATGGTGAGACTACCACCACCAACAAGCAAGCAAGGTGTAGTTAAGGATTATAGCCTTGACTCCATTCTTTACCAACCCTGTCAATTACGGGTAGGGGTATAACACGTGTCAGAGAAAAGATCATCACTATAGAAAATTTCTTAACTCTAGCTGGTATAGGTTGAACAGAGGTTTTATTTTTAATCTTTAAATTAGCATCCTTCAGTGTTTCAGGAAAAGTAAAAAACAATATTTCAATGTCTTCTGTGAAGGAGAAACATTAATTCTCTAGATGCTATGTAAGCATATTATACATAAGTCTTCTGGCTAATGAATGCTAGAAGAATGCAGATAAATTGCTTTGCTTGGCAGCTGTAAAAAGAGTGAAAGAAAAAAATTGAAGTGTAAGCTGACAATTAAAAAAGCACTACTGCATTCCATGCTTCCTCACCACACTGAGAAAAAAGTATTACCTGTAATTGTTCTCAGAAGATACGCATCCTAATGGACTACCCAATGGACTTTAAAGTCTATTACCAGCACAAGGTATTAATTTCCAAATTTCAAAATTCTAAGCCACTGGCATCTATCTGGATGGTCTAGTGAGTAGGAACCTAGCCCAGGCCATGGGAGACCTGGGTGTCCTGAGGTTCACGGGACCTCCTGGGTTCAACTCCCTATTGTGCCATAGACTGTGACCTTGGGCAAGTCGTTTAGTCTCTGGATCAGTTACCCATTACAAAATGGGATTTTACTTTGTGTTCATCACTGAAGGAGGCAAGATATGAATTCATTCTGAACTCCTGTGCTGTTCCAGAGCCAAGCACCATTCAGCATTTATATGCTCAAGAAGAACAATGCTAGGTTTCAAATAAGTTAAATTGGGTGTAAGTGTTTCAAAGTTACATTTCAATAGTGAAATGTAGCTATATTTAGGGCTGGGGCAAACTGTGTACTGTTCTCTCTTCACGCTGCCTCTGTGTTGTTATATCTGTATAACCCTATGAAGACAATGGTGAACATATTTTGAAGACAAAGATTACAGATATAATAGAGCAGATTTTCACCTGCAAGAACCTTTACAGGCAGTTATACCAGGGCAGGAAAACCCCATCCTAACTTTAAGAAATGGCATCATGAGGGTCACTTTTCAGAGCAGATGTATATTTTAAGAAAATTATAAAGTGTTAGCACACCAAAGAGAATTATACTTATGTGAGACTGCTAAATGAGCCAATCGTAAGAAATAGAGTGAGCAGAGAACCATGCCAATCGTAAGAAATAGAGTGAGCAGAGAACCATGTGTAGAAATTTATGGCACCAGAAATGCATTCACACCTGTGAGCCATTGTGAATAGTCTTTTAGAGAATACCAGATGAGACATTTAAGCAAACTTTTTGAAATGCATTAATACTAAGTATTTTCATTTTTGACAGCATGTCACATTCCATGCTAGATTTTCCACAGCCCCACCAAAGCTTATCTAGCACTTCCTCTCCTCATTTTAAAATCCCCTTCATCTACCACCTCTACCCAAATGTCTTGCCTGAAATAAACTGCTCAGAACCAATGCTTTGCTCCACAAAGCCACAGGAGACAAATCTAGTGCTTTCCCAGCAATGTTGCTAAATATGGCAAGTCTTCTAGCACACTACAAGACTATTTAGCAGATACCAATTAAGTGGCTTCTGCTAAATGAATGCAGACAGTGTATTCTCTAGCCAAGCTTTATTGCTACCAGACAACTTGAGAAGTTGCTACAGTATCGTAATACTTGCTGCAGAAAGAGGTACTGAAATGCTGAGTTCTAGGGATCCCCTTATAACATTTTAGCAAAATATGGAGACACTCAAGTTATTTTCTTTCACTAAACAACACAAATGAAAAATGCTCACCAGTTTTCTTTCTGTGGTTTAATTTCTCTCTGCTTATGTGCTTAGAGACCGATGGTCTTACAGTAGTTTTTATTTTACTGTCAACACAAGATGTAAAGATTCTTTTGGTTTCTGTTTCTTCCACATATTCTGTAGCTGTAGCCTTAATATCTTCCAAGTATACTTCATTTTTCCTCTTACGACTACGTAAAGTAGATCCAATGGAAGATGAATATATTTCATCTTTGGTTTCACCTGAGATGGGATCTATAACTGGAAGGTTCTGGAGTATTTCTAACTTTGAATGTCTAGGAACCATACTTACTCCTTCCCTTATCATATTAAGAGATTTTCTAGATTTTGGCTTAGTTGTCTCCATTCTTTTTCTTTCAGCAGCAGACGACTTATTTTTGATGACAGTAGCAGAAAGCACAGGACGTTTTTTTGGTTGTTCTCTTTGGGAGCAACTGCGAGTCTGAAGGTCCTCATCAGAAAGAGGAAAATTGAGATGATTTTGTTCAGGTTTGGTACAATGAAGTAACTGAGATTTCGCTATAGGCGTCTCATCAAGGACATCATTTGGAAACTTATGTTCTACAGATACACTTATGAACTGCATTTTTTCATTTTCTTTCCATTTTGAAGATGACGACTTCTCTGTGATACAAGTCTCCACACTGGAGGATAAAGAGGATGGTGAAACAGATATGTGGACTTGAGACACTGATTCTATAGCTAAGTTGTCTTTTACAAACTGATCGGGTGACAATATGGGAGCAACTTGCTCTGCTACAACTTCTACATTAAGTTGATAACTGTCATTTATAAAAGAATCTGGACTTAAAATTCTCCTTTGAGTCAAAGAGGAATGCAAGGCTGCCGTCCATTCCAGAGCACAAACAGGTGAATGTGTATTTGATCTGTGTGCTTGTACTAATCCAGAAGGAGAACTGTGTATACTTGAGGATTTTATTTCCTCATTAGGATTATGAAGTTTCTTGATGTTACATGTGTGTATTTCTTGCAATAATTCATCATTTACCACTGTACCAAGAACTGAGTATGTAGTAGATCTTCTCATTGAAAGAGGTGTGCAAATGGTATCATGATGTTCTTGCAATACAGGACTGATAGGAGATATAGGCAGTTTGTTTTCTAAAGTGATAAGCGAGTTTTTTGGGGGGGACATGCTACCTCGTATCACATCCAAATTTTCACAGGATTGGAGTGGGCTTCTAACTGTATCTGTTTTTTTGGAAACACGAAAAGTTTTGTTAACATTTTTAACATTTAAATGTTTTTTCTTAGCTCTTGTAGAAACTGATCCTTCTGAAGTATTTTTCTTTTTAATAGCATCCCAAAGACTCTTCTGAAAAACCAAAAAAAAAAAAAAAAATTAGAGGGTTTGCAAGGTAGTTGTTTTTTAAATATAATGCACTTATATATCCATCCACACAGATAATGAATTGATAGCTAACAGATACAAAAACTAAGTTTTTAATTTTGGGTTGTTTAAGTTATTTTGAATAGATACACACTAAAAAAGTAATATGTAGCCACATGCTCTATGCACTTACCATAAACTTTAAAATGCCCACATCAAAAACCACACACCAACATAGCTGAAGCACAGCAATACAATGCAATATAATCCATAATCAAACCAACCAGGAAAATAAGACTAAAGCCATTTTTCTACTCCAATAATTCACCCTTAAGATGTTTTACCACTTTCAAATGGGAAAAGAAAAATTTTGCAGTATTCACTGGATTTGGGCTATTTCAGGATCAAGGAGAGCAAATTCCAAGTTATTGGGGAATCCCACTGAGGATACCCATTCAACAATTCATCTGTGTCTACACTAGTAGAAACAATTGGTACATTGCAAAATTTTGACTCACATGCAAGCAACAAATAAGACAAAAATAATTAGTGTTAATTAAAAATACATTTCTTACCTTTTTCTTCAGAGGCTGCTCAGCAACACCCAACAACACAGCCTGATGTTTTACAATGCCATTAACAATAAAAGTTACCAGTTCTCGGACTTTTCCTTCTTCTAATGGCGTCCATGTGATAGAAATAAAGATTCTTTCTCCAGACTATGAGAGAACGAAGCGTTAAAACAAAAACATTGTAAGGACATGAAAATATTTTTAAGAGAATTGATCATTTAAAAAAGAAGCAGCGAACAAAAGTGTTAGTGTCTGTGAATGCTTTTAAGTAAAGTGCTATATAAATGCTAATTAGTATGGCTTACATTTTCAGCCACTGAGTGCATAAATATGGGTTGGCGTCTCTAAATTTATGCACCGAACTTTAAAAATGTTGACTTATTAGATGAATTACAGTTGTTATGATGGAGGACAGGTGAGAAAGTACAAATACACAATAGTGAGGTTAGGAGATAGAATGGATATAAGAAAGGAATGTGATTTTCATAGAACATCGGGGTTGGAAGGGACCTCAGGAGGTCATCTAGTCCAACCCCCTGCTCAAAGCAGGACCAATCCCCACACAGGAAAACCTGCTGTCACATTATTGACTCGAACTGGGACCATATAGTTCATTGTTGCAACCAAGGTCCTGTAGTGGCACCAAATCTTGTATAAAGGGGGTCAAATAAGGTA